GCACACAGGAAGTAGCCAAGTACAGTGCTGAATCAGAGCCATAGATAGTATGTCAATTAAATGCAAACCAAAATGCTTTATAACAAACTATTTAATTCACATATTCCTCAAGGGACTTGTTGAAGGTACACACAGGTCTTTGACAGTCACTTTTTCTTCTCATTATCTGCCTGCTTTCCCATTTAAAGTGTTCCAGTACTCTATCAGCTGGTGCTAGTGTTATCTTCACAATCTACAAGTCAGTGAAGATATCAAGAAAACCTAACTCAAAGCAGTAAACATAATCTGCTCTCTTTCCTAGTTGTTTTTAACATGCTATACTAGTTGTGACCCTAATGATGCAGGGGATGAATTTTGAGCAACTTCAAGTTTTGTTTTGTTTTCTTTTCCTGGAAAGAAGAGGTTGGGATGTGGAGAATGTGGGATGTGTTGAAAGGTTAAGATGTTCTTAAGGATCAAAGACAGAAAGAAAAAGAAAGAAGGAAGGAAGGAAGGAAGGAAGGAAGGAAGGAAGGAAGGAAGGAGAAAAAAAAAGTACTCTGAACATATGAAGAAACATCTATTTTTTTTTCCTAGAAAAATAAATGTTTTCAAATTTTCATTTGTCAAAAATCCTTGTCTTCTAGAACAGAAAATTAATTAACTTATTCCATATTTGTTGTAACAATTGCATCATCTAAAGATTAGAAAGACCATTAGTCTTAATCTTAGTCTTTCTCAGAACTTGTATTTCTTTCAAACAACCCACATTCAGTTGTTCTGTGACTGTAATATCGTACAGGATGATTCTTTCACTTCACCTTTAATCCTAAGACATCTGCTTTTTACTTAGCATCCGGAGATAATCTTTGGTTCCCCAAAGAGTGTCAGACTGTGCTACAATCCCATTGCATAAGCTCCTGTGAAACTTGTAAAAAACAAACAGCAAAGGAAGAGATGCTGGAGCTTTCTGAGAACGAACAATGATGGAAGAACTGTAGATGAAGCCTTTAGTGTAAGGGGAAGCAACTGGAGCACTGATGGTTGAGAAAGAAATGAGAGAGGTGAAGGATGAATCAGAAAAGCTAAGAAGTGGTTAAACTGGCTACTGAATTGGTGTTTGGAGAATGGATTTAAGTGTCCTTGTATTCAGCTTTAAATTAATCCTTGAAAGATTGAGATCAAAGCCAAATATTAATCAAAAGCCAAATGTTCATATCCACTCTGTTTATCAATGCATAAAGGCTTAAGACAGTATAGCAACAGGCTTCCAAGAAATCCTTAATAGAGAGTGATAGATAGGCTGGCTCAAATCTGTTCACACTTTTGCATGAGATCAGTCAAATATCCAGCAAGAAAATGTAATCCTCAGTTTGGTATTCTCTCTTCTCTTGAAGTGCATGAAATAAATTTAAGTCAGGGCAAATTACTGTAAAATAAAAATGTTATGGATACGTGGGAAAAAAAAATATTTTAGTTTAATTTAAAATAACCCTGTTTTTACTGTATATATTTGAAGTAATCAAAAATGAAGTATCCCAGACCAGTGGTGTATTACTGGATTTTTCTGTTGCTATATTCTCCCACTAATTCCAAGAATCTTTTAAAAAAGACAGACATTTCTCTTGGAATGTCAGATGTCAATGTTAAGGACTAATTTATGTCTGTAATATAATATGGAATATATTGGGGAATTGAGTTCAAATGTTCTCACAGTGCCACCTGCTGAAAAGAAACTAAGACTAAAAAACATTTGGCAATTCTTTCCTGTTAGGCAATCGGTAAATTCTTGTCCATCCTGGGTACTTTTCAGTCTTTTAATCTCTATGATATCACTATACAAAATCTGCAGGAAAAAATCTCCAGGAAAGTAAAAGCTATAAGCTCCTCCTTTACCTATTTACATATTTCATTGCCATATTTATATCCATTATTTCACACCCATTTACCTATATCATTAGAATCATAGAACCATAGAATATTCCAGGTTGGAACAAGAATCATCAAATCCAACTCCTGGTTTCACCAAAAAATCAAACCATATATCAAATCACGCTGACTGCCCTCAGAACCCTGTCCCAGTGCCCGAGCACCCTCTGGGTGCAGACCCTTTCCCTAACCCCCAGCTGACCCTCCCCTGTCCCAGCTCCATGCCGTTCCCTCGGGTCCTGTCGCTGTCCCCAGAGAGCAGAGCTCAGCGCCTGCCCCTCCGCTCCCCTCATGAGGGAGCTGCAGGCCGCCATGAGGCCTCCCCTCAGCCTGCTCTGCTCGGGGCTGAACAAACCCAGGGACCTCAGCCACTTGTAATACATCTTGCCCTTCACACCCTTCACTATCTTTGCAGCCCTCCTTTGGCCACTCTCTAATAGCTCTATGCCCTCCTTACACTGTGTCACCCAGAGCTGCACGCAGTGCTGGAGGTGAGGCCACCCAGCTCAGAGCAGAGCAGGACAATCCCTTTCCTTGCCCGGCTGGCAGTGCTGGGCCTGATGCACCCCAGGGTACGGTTGGCCCTCCTGGCTGCCAGGGCACGCTGCTGGCTCGTGTTCAGCTTGCTGGGACCAGAAACCTCAGTTCCCTTCCTATGTGTCTGCTCTCCTGCATTCCGTCCCCCAGTCTGTACACACAGCCAGGGTTGTCCCATCCCAGGCACACAATCTCACACTTGTGCTCTTGTTAAACTTCATGCAGTGGGTGATTGCTCAGCCCTCTAAACTGTCAACACCTCTCTGCAAGGCCTCTCTACACTCAAGAGAGTCAACAGCTCCTCCTAATTTAGTATTGTCTGCAAATTTACTTAGTATGCATTCCAGTCCACCATCTAGATCGTTTAAAAAATATTGTTGAAAACTGGCCCTAAAATTGAGCCCTGCAGCATCCCAATAGTGACTGGCCACCAGACACATGTAATCTAATTTACACTAATCGTTTAAGTTTGATCCATCAGCCAGTTGTTCACCCAACATGTTATATATTTATCTAGCTGTATGATGGACATTTTGTCCAGAAGGATGCCATAGGAAACTTATTGAAAGCTTTGCTGAAATCCAAAAAGATTACATTAACTGTCTTCCCTTGGTCACCTACGTGGGTGACCTTCAAAGGAAATTCATAAAAGGAAATCGAGTTAATTAAACAAGACTTTCCCCTTGTTATGTGTTAGCATTTTCACTGAAAGGTAAGCATGTACCTAAATGTTCCGTATAAGAGTCAGATAGAGATGCTTAGGGTTTGAACTGAGTACATGCAGAGCTCAAGGGTTCAGGTGTAAGCATCAAGATTTTTACCCTCCATTAGGTTGCCTCTGATAAGGCAGCACCAGCCTCAGTTTATTAAATTCTGCACTGTTTAATAAAATGTAAGCTGAAATATGTTGGCTAATAAATTTTTAAATCTACTTCAATTCACAAATCTAGAAATAGCTCTCAAGCATGTGAATAATTCTTTTAAAATAAAAAAGACAGAGCGCATGGATTAAGCTTTTGTAGCAGCCTGAATTTGGGGCATGAATTACCAGAGAGAGAAGCCCAATTGTCTGAACATTTCTTTCCTGATATCTTCCCTTCCCTTCCCTTCCCTTCCCTTCCCTTCCCTTCCCTTCCCTTCCCTTCCCTTCCCTTCCCTTCCCTTCCCTTCCCTTCCCTTCCCTTCCCTTCCCTTCCCTTCCCTTCCCTTCCCTTCCCTTCCCCTTTTTTCTTTTTCTTTTTCTTTTTTCTTTTTCTTTCTTTTTCTTTCTCCTTCTTTTTCTCTTCTCCTTCTTTTTCTCTTTCTCTTCTTTTTCTTTTTCTTTTTTTTCTTTTTCTTTTCTTTTCTTTCTTTTTCTTTTTCTTTTTCTTTTCTTTTCTTTTTCTTTTTCTTTTTCTTTTTCTTTCTTTCTTTTTCTTTTTCTTTTTCTTTTCTTTTTCTTTTCTTTTTCTTTTCTTTTTCTTTTCTTTTTCTTTTCTTCTTCTTCTTCTTTTTCTTTTTCTTTTTTTTCTTTTTCTTTTCTTTTTCTTTTTCTTTCTTTTCTTTTCTTTTTCTTTTTCTTTTCTTTTTCTTTCTTTTCTTTCTTTCTTTTTCTTTTTTCTTTTTCTTTTTCTTTTTCTTTTCTTTTTCTTTTTCTTCTTCTTTTTCCTGTTCTTTTCCTTTCTTTTTCTTTTTCTTTTTCTTTTCTTTTTCTTTTCTTTTTTCTTTTTCTTTTTTCTTTTTCTTTTTCTTTTTCTTTTTCTTTTTCTTTTTCTTTTTCTTTTCATTAATTGTACCGAGTTTCAGTTTGATTCTTAATTTCAGCTAAATACTTTTGTGCTGTCTTCTGTGTTAAGAAAACTCAAGCTTCATTCTTTTTATATTTTTTGTAGAAATTCCTATAGCTTTTCAATCCACCATGATTCAAATTTTCAACAAGTCTCACCTATGATCCAATTAATAAGCTGAAAGCACTGTATCGGCATCTTCACAAGAATTCCAGTGATTGTTTGGTGTACACATATTTGTACTGTATTCAGTGAAAATTAGATGATTTCTTTCTTCCCCACCCACAAGTGATGTTTGGAAATGCAGTGCATTTGGCATTATACTCCTGCTTAAAGAGTTTGCAGTGTTCATTTTGAGAACAGAAGTAAGAAAGAATATTCCAACAATTAATCACAAGCTGCACATTGTCATAATGGACATTTCATAAATAACCAAGAGGCTGAAATTCATTTTCATAAGTTCTTCCATGAATAATTTAAATTTTTAAAAGCAAAGTCAATCAGTATCACACTGAAAGAAAAATAACTAAATTTCAGTTAACTCTGCCAACTAGCATGACTAATTCTATCCACAGCTCAACCTATTGTAGGACACACACAAATTTTGCTCATAGATACTGAGCACTGTCTCAGGATCTGGCAGGTGACAGTGTTCAAATGAGCTCATGTGATTTTTTGCTCACCAGTGATATTGGGTCTGAATTGACCAACCTAAACAAAATTGTGAAGAGGTATGAAGTAGGTTTGTCTTCCTAATTAGCTTCTTTGATGTTTAAATTCATGTATAACTGAATTCAGACACTTGATTTAATCTCCCTAAATTCCTTCTATGACAACTGCACTAAGATACAGTACTGCAGAAGGTAAGTAAAAATACCTGAATTTCAACTCCAACATGTGTCCTGAAAGCCTCTTTCCCCCTCTCTTCTTTGGTAGAAATGTATGCAGATAAATTTCCGGATGCTAATATTAGGTTCTATGAGTGCACCTTCAAAACTCTTTCCCTGTGTTTTTCTCTATTTAAGTCTTTATCAAATAGCATAATGATAAAACAACACTTAGTGGGGTGCAAAACAGTACTGGGCTAAATGTTCTTTATTTGTCTCATTATAGACTCTTTCATCAGTTACCAACTTCCACATTGGAAAAAAAAAAAAAATCACAAAAATTTGGGGCATAGTATTCAAGAGATGTGCATAAGTATCTATATGCCTTTGAAAAATTTCACAGGTGCCTGTGTCCATGGGAACTTAATTGGAAATTTTCATAAAATTATGTTCCGAGTCAAGAAGAAATATTGTGTTTTTCTGAACAAAATTTTTCCTTGCACTCTCTTCAGTACAAGGAAAGATACCAGCAAAGGGACTTTGAGTCACATTAATCTGTTTACTGGAGATGATACCAGGGGTTCTGGTTGTCGGTTTAGAAGTTATTAATCAACCCACTCTGTTTATTAGCCATATCATAAAAGAAGACTGTCTGGCTTCTAAGCAAGTAGTTAATGGACAGCTGCTGTGTATCTTGTGGGAACTTTGTAAGAACTGAGAATTGACTAAATTGTGGCAGCCAGCTCAGCCTTGTTCCTGTCTTTTCCTGCTTGCAAAAAATGGATGATTTACAATGGGCTTCATTTTGAAAAATGCCCTAACTTTTGTATTGTTGTTACAATAATAGTAACAAGAGCAAACTTGCTGCCTATTTTGGCTCAGACAAGTAACAGAATTATAATTGCAGCTATTGGATAAAAAGAAGCAAACTCTGAAGTCTCCCAGAACACTGCAATATTTAAAGAGAGGAAAAAAAAAAAATAGTTCCAAGTGCAACCATTACTTAATATGGTGGCAGAGTTTTGTCATTTGTTTTCATTTAGATTAAGTTACTTTCACACAGTTTTAAGGCAAGATCTAAAGTCCACTAAAATTCTTTGGACCAGTTCCCGTTCTGCTCAATTATTACTCTACAATGATCAAAAAGATCTGTATTTGGCTGTGAGCTACAAAACAATCAGAAATTTTAAATAAAATAAAAATTAAATTAAATTAAATTTTATTAATTGAAATAGATGCTTACTGTGAGAAGCTTCTGATTTTCATTCAGTATTTCTCTTTGAAGGAAAGATGGTCCGTTAAATTATTGGTTTAAGAAGCTAGGGACACAACAAGTTAAATGCTATTTTCTCCTTCGGGTTCCCGCATGTTATATAATGTTATATTATGCAAATTTGTTCAACTTGCATAATATAAACGTGTTACTTAATTTATTGGAGTTGGTCTAGAGGATCCTTCTGGGTCACTCCAACTCGGGACATTCTGTGATTCTGTGATTAATTATTGCAAAGTCTTTTGACTCCAGAGTCTGGAGGCTGATGAGGAATTCGGTGTTTCTTACAAATAACTGTTCATATATACTGTGAAGGTAGAATTTCAATCCTTGGAATAGGCTGTACTTTACTGGATGTATTTCTATATGCAGTGAGGGTCTGTGTGTGGATCTTTGTGCATCATCTAGCTGGTCAATTTTTCCATTTCCTTTTGAAACCCTTTGAAATGGGATAATAGTCTTCTCTATCTTAAAAATAAGTAAATAAATAAATTACATTAACATGTATATTAGCATGTATTACTTTTCTGGCTATGGTAGTCTGTTGGCCTCAAATGTTCTTTAATAGACAATCAGTCTTCAGCTGTACTTCTGGAGATGGATGCAGCCCAATATACAGGTAGGTAGGAAAAAAATATTTTATCTTAAGTCTTACCAGAATTTATTGTTCTACAAAGAGAACATTATAGAGATATTCTTTTAAGAAATACCATGGAGATACTCTTCTTGAAGAAGTTTACTAGCCATTTCAGCTTTGCTTGTAAAGGCTATAGGTTTCCTGAACAAACAAACGATTTCTTCATCATTTTTGGATGTGTATGCAGTGTTGCCGTGCACCATACCAGACTGCAGGAATTATTCATATGCACTATGTCAGCTGACTTAAAGACATGCAACGTTCTTGCATTCTTCAGTTAGCTCCTGCCCTGAATTGCATGTCTACAACCATGCTGGCTTCAGGAAGATGGAAACTGAGGGCTGAAGCCTCCCTTTCCATTTTTCAAAGAGTCTGATTTAATCCCTAGTATGGAATTTCAGATACTTGAATTTCAACCAGCAGTTTTAGAAAAAAACACCCAGCTCACATCAAAACATATTTATTTTTTTGACTGCAAGTTACTAGGAGTCAGGGAAAAAAGGAGTGCTTGAAAAAGAAAATCATTTAGTAGTTCCCCCAGTTGCACTGCTGATTATACTTAAGAAATTAGAAGTCTGTTGTTGTTCTAAATATCTCAACAAAAGAATCAAGAGTTAGAAGAAAATGGGAGATGGTATTCTTGCATATTGGGGTTCTCCAGGACACTGTGTTCTGTGCCATATAGTCAGGCTATACAATAGACCAGACAGAGAGAAGAAAAGCACAGATTAAATGCAGTTTCTGCTTAGAAGTTATAGTGTAACCCCTTTTGAGTGAGAGAATGGTGTTCAGAAAAAAAAAATGTGCAAAAGCAAGGGCATTGGGTACATGTGTAAGAACTGAACATCTGTGATCAGCCATCCTTGTAAATCATAGTCACTCAATTTTTTCACTTCCCTCCCCCTTCTGTTATGTTTCTTTCCAGTGAGGCTCTGCAGATATTTGCCTAAGGCAGTTTAGGAATATCTTTTTAAAGACTTAACAGGAAGAAAAGATAAGCCCTCAGGTATGCAAACCCTTCCTTGAATAGGTGCCTAGAAGCCTGGATGTTGTTGTGCTTTTTTTTTTTTTTTTTTTAAATTTCTTCACTTTGGTACAGAAAAATGTGGATCATGAGCAGTAGCAGGTGAAACAGATATTTTTACAACCTTTTTTGGAGCTCATTTATGTCTTTCTCATACAAATAAATTTTACTAAAATTTGTCTGCTTCATAGTCTACAGGGATTTATACCAAGACATTAATTAATAAATATTTGAGGACCATGTTCCTTCATTCTGGCAGTGTTACTGAGGGTGCTATTGGCCAGGAATTCAGCTCAGCTTTGGGAGCAATCCATTGTTCCTCATCACTGAGAAGAGTGATTGTATTAAAGGTCCATGTTTGAAAGGGCTGAGTATCACTAAGTCTATGGTTAGGTCTTTCCTCTTGATGTCTGTGAACTTTTAGAAAGCCTACCCCCCCCCCCCCCTTTTTTTTTCTTTTTTATTGCAACAATTACTTAGGCTAAGATTTCTCGGAAAAGCCAGAGGACTTTAGCTTTCCCATTAACAACCAACCTGCTGTGTCCCTACATGATGTTCTGAGGTTACAGTCTCATACTATCTTTTCCTGGTCATCCTCATTTATCTTATGAAACATACAGCTAGAGTATGCCTACATAAAATACTGCTTTCCACTCCAGTTCAAAAACAGAGTAGAATTTAATGAAGAGATTGTGTAAAATTAATTTTTATTTTTATTTCCAAGTATTAGAACTGAGCTCTCTGCTAAGGCACTGAAGAAAAACACTACTTTATATCATCATAGATTTAACAGAAACAAATATAAAGGCACACCAGTAGATGTTCATATCAGCCCCAGTCACTGGCTTGCCCTGAGTCCTCTTGCCTTGGCTTCAGTGCAATTTAATAACATTTCATTGCTAATGAGATACTTAAATATTCCACAGAAACAGGGCCTCAGCTTCAGTTGCAGAATCTGTACTTAGTGACAACAAAACCAGATTCCTTTCTAAATCGTAGGATATATAGTCTCAGTTTGGATATGCATTCTTAGCAGTAAAGAAAGAAAGGATGGTGTGGTTTGTTTTTGTTTGGTTGGTTGGTTGGTTGCTTGCTTGTTTATTTTTATGTTAGGACAGATCTGGTCTGGCTAATTCCAGTCCCTAAACAAGGAACATATCTTTTCCCAGACTCCACAGGCATATTAAGCAATTTTACATAATGCTTTACTCTCTGCATTAACCTGAAGAGCTGTGTATCAACACAAAGTACAAGGTGAGATCTGGTCATTACTAGCCCATGAGATTGAATTGGAATGATGGGTCTCTATAACAAGCTTTAAGAACTTGTTGACAAATATATAAAATAATAAAATTGATACAAAAAATATATATAAATCCTGGTTTATATGCTCTTAAAGCATTTGTAAATGGTGTATTTTCCATTATTTCTCAAAATTCTTTTTCTATGTATTGTCCAGCTCCTCATACATTTTCATAATAACAATACTTAACACTGCTGTAACAGCTTATATTTTCCTGGCTGCATGCAAACAATTACTGATGTGCATCCATACTGACACAAATTAGACCCATATGTAGCTTTATCATGCACATACAATTTCTTCGTCATTTAATCTCTGTTGTAAATGACAACTTTGGAATTCTCTGTCTCTCTAAATCTGCATTTCTCATTGAATTTAAATGGATCTCAAATCTATAAATAACTGCATCAACCCTGAATATTGCATTCAATTACTGAGAGTTTGCTGCTGTTCACATGGCATTCATGCTGGGCTTTCATGCTGTTTGCATTAGCAAACCTCTTCTTTCTAAAACAACCTCCTGTATTCATGATTAACAACTCAATCTGAGGTTGAATTTTTTAAGTATTTTTTTCTCTGAAATCTCTAATACAGTAACTTTTTTAAAAAGGTAAGACCAGCTACAGCTCAGTGATTGTTCATTTAAGCAAGACTTTATTTCGATTCACAGTGGTTAGAACTAAGTTTGAACAAAAACAGTTCATCTGTTGAGCAGAAAGCAAACTGAGAATTATAGTGAGAATAATTGCATCTCATTACAAGCAGACAATGCATGTAGGTGCCCAGCAAGAGAGGGTCA